AGACAACAGCAGCTGTAAGCAGCCAGACGCCCCGTGCCAGCTCCAACGGCCCTGACGATGGCCTGAGGGCTTGGGGCAAAGACGCCCTATGCAGCCTGCAGGGAACGTGCCGATGGAGGCTGGCGGCGGGGGCGCCAGGCTGCATGAGTCAGGCACAGGCCAGCTGCCAGGGGGCCAGCAGAAGGGGCAAGGGCGTGTCCTTAGAAAGAGGCTTTTACGGGACCCCCAGGCGGCCTGAAAAGCAGCGCAGGCACAGGCCTGAGAGTCTGGCCACCCAGGGATGGGGAGACTGGCCCCTCCCTTGAGCGCGGAGCCGGGATCGCACTGGCAGGCAGGAGCCGGAGGGGGACGGTCTCCAATAAGGACAGTTCTCACTGACGAGTCGCAAAGCCAAACGGCTTTCTCCACAGCCAGGGGGGCAGAGGGAACGCCCCCCGAGGAGCCGGGGCTGGGCCACTCAGCCACCCCCAAGGCCCAGGCTCCTGCCTTCTCCAGCAAGGGTCTGGCCCCGCTGTACATCCTCCCACCCCAGCAGGGCTGCGCATTTCAAAGGGCCCTGCACATTTGGCTTGGAGGCCTCTGAAAGCTCAGAGCATGAAGGAAAGGCTGGACGCCACGCTGCTTTCCCCAGAGCACGCAGCCAGCCTCATCTCCACCGCGCCCAGCCCAGGCAGCGCTAGCAGCCCGGAGCAGCCCCGGTGCCCTGAATGAGGCAGACAAGCAGTTACCTCTCCGAGTCCCAGGCCTCCTTGGGGCGCTTTCTCTCCGGTGAGTCCAAGCGCTGGAATCTCTCTCTCCGGCCATTCCCCTTCTCCTGACCCTTCCCCTGGCCATGCAGGAGAGAGCTGGCGTCAGTGCAGGCGCCAGGACCGAGCTGCTGCCCCACACAGAGCTCGCGGGGGAGCAGGGCCCAGGGAAGGGACGAGCTCCACGCAGAGTCCCCTCCTCCACCCGCCTGGCCAGCAGCCCGCAGGGAGACAGCAGAAAGCAGCTGCTCTCCGGGAGGGCGCCCGGCCCCAGGGCCACTGGCTGCTCCCGCCCCGGGGAAACGGGCTTTCCTGCATTCGGTGGGAGGGAGAAAGGCACCCAGGGGTGGGGCCCGATGCCAGGGAGGAGCTGGACTTGGGAGCAGGCCAGAGGGAGGCCCTGGCACGCTTCACGTGGCCCTCCCAGCCACCAGGCAGGCCTGGCCTCTGGGCCCCACTGCTCAGTGAGCAGAGACCAAGCCCGCGGCACCACGCTAGCCCTTCCCCCACCTCTCGCTCTCTCTTCTCCAGATAGGCCAGCTCCTGCTCCGAGCGTTTGATCTTCCTGTGGATCTCCAGGTTTTGCTGGAAGGAGGAAAGCAAAAGGCACCGTCAGTGCAGAAAGCCTGGAGCCGGAGCCACCCTGAGTCTAGATGAGCTGATCTTGCAGGTGCTGCCTGAGCCAAACAGCGCCCATCACACTGCCTGTGGACAGTCCTTTCCAGCGTTTCTCTCTAAGCTGGGCGCTTGGGCGGCCGCCAGAGAGAGTCCAATGCTGCCCAGCTGATTAGCAGAGCACCCGCAGGGCCAGCAGCCGGCAGCGTGTTTCTGCTGGTGGTGCACGTTTGGGCATGCTGTGGTGCATGCAGAAAAATTTATTCCACACTTGGATGGAAAAAACTAGAGGGAATGTTGGTCCTTTTTCTTCCCAGCCAAGCGGTAGGGCACAGACTCCCCATCAGTGCTACTCAGCCTTTCGGACTCTAGCTTGCGGTGAATTTAGTACGGAGTGAGCGGTGCAGAACACAGGCAGCTACTGGCCACGCTTCTGTCTGTGCAACTCTGCCGGCAGCCCCCTTGCGGCCAGGCTGCGCTCAGTCACTGCTGCTGAGGATTCAGGTGGGCAGCGCTCTCAGGAGCGCCCAGCTGGGAATCCACAACCCCTCCCCTCAGC